AGCTTGACGAGGTGATAAGCGAGAGGATGATGGCGGGCTTTTGATAGATATAGGCTGGCTTAGAGTACCGCGGGGCACGCCCCGAGACCGCTTCGGTGGGGTAGCAACAATAGCTTGGACGCGTCTTTTTGGTGGCATGCTTGCAATCAAGAAATTAGTAAGATAAGAAGATATATATAATAAATTGACACGTATAGTATTAGAGATAGAGGTAAGAGTTAACGTTACTATAGATTAGTAGCCTACGTAAAGGAGTTCATAGTTATTCTTCTTTTTTTACGCACGGGCGTATCAAGCTCATCAAGCTCTATCAAGCTCAGCTTGATGAGCTTGACGAGCTTGATACAGCTTGATACAGCTTGATGAGCTTGGCTTGACTCAGCTTGACCGTTGAGTCAATCCAGCTTGATTGATGAGCTTGACTCAGCTTGATTGTTGACATCTCTGGTATATGGCTATGTGGAGCCCATGCTTATGACCCTTCGTGCGTCACAATTGAGGCCCTCAATAGCACCATTCGGCACACCGTAGTAGACAACTGTAGATTTCGTACATTCTGAGTCTATCCCAAAGCGAACAGCCATTGTATTCTCAAATCCCGCACCTATCGGAATAATGTAGGTGTTGATAACAATATAAAACCGGTAATTAATTTCTTGCTTAGGCTAATATGGATGCTGCAGTGATAAAGAAAGGAGGGCGATTATCGTAATTCACCGAAAAATTGATAAGATTCTACTTCATACTTTAAGACTTGCGACTCGAAGCGTAAAGCTTCTTGTTTGAACATCTGTGATTGGTTGTCTGTGTATTTTTTTTCAAACGTGATTACCAAGTTCAATTCGCGTTAGAAGACAAAATTGTAGCGTGAAGCAGTTGCGGCTACTGTGTTCAATCAAGCCCCTGATTCTGCTCTTCTCTACCTAGTGAGCTCACGAGTTTGTCTACATAGATATCTACTAAAAGCAATTCACACATCTGGGAAAACCTTGATACACCTTTCAAGGGCAACTTAAATAATCTATCTACTTTATTCCACTAAATGCATTGACATGCAGGATACCTACGAATATTCGCGTTGGGTATGACTAAGATGAAAGAGCTAGCGAGACACAATGTATGCATTAAAACTGTACAGCTAGATGAGGCTTACTCAGCGTACCTAGCTGCATATATCTGTTTCTAAACTTGTATATCAACATAAACTTAGTAAATTTGGTAGTATATACACGAGCTACTCGCTTTGTGAAGAGACTAAGAGTTCAATTTAATATTTGACTAGATTATCATCTGAAGGAGACAATCTCTAAGCTTAGAGTGTTGATGCGTAGTAGCGTGACATGATTGAATTTCTTGCATCACTTCTTTAGTTCTTAGTATAAAAAGAGACCCCCCCACACCTTCCGAAAGTTGCCTGGATAATAGCGTTTATCAACTTCTAGCTATTAGCGAGTATATACTGTGGATTTAAAAGGAGTTGGCTTACATGTAGTTTGCATCCGAGACTAGCACTGCCAGCTTCAGTTGACGCAGACTTGGTAGACACCTAGACTGCTCTGAAAACAGAACCCTGGGTTTTGGCCGCCTTGTCTGATTATGTAGTCTTTAGAGGCCCTGCAAGAAGCTAGACTTTTGTAGGTAGTATCGAGACAGGTTATGGCTTGGACCAGGGGAAGGGATGGCAGAACAACCATAGAAATGAGCGCGAGAGAAAAGGCTGTAAAATGCATTGTGTGTGTCTTGATGGTGGAATGTTGTAATGGTTTTTAGTGTTTGGACTGTCTGAACTGGATTGAAGAGAGTATGAGGAAGTAGTAGGTATTCACAACGAAAGTGGTTGGCTTATATAGTCTTGAAGGATGACTGTTTCGAATCGAGCATTGATAGCGGTAAACTTCACACCAAGGCATAAACTCTTGTTACTAACTAGAGATGTGGATCTTTGAAAAATGAACTACTCCGCAGTGTGCAGTTTGATTACCTATTTTGGGTAGAGAATAGTCAGTGCTTGATAAGGATACGCCTGTCTTGGTAAGGCACAAGAATTGGCATCGGCCTAGACTCAGCTCCACCTTTGATCGTTATGCTTCGAATTTGAATCTCTTTGGCTATCTAACAGAAACAGAATGATCAGGCTTGCTTGAAATACGAAGTAGTATCCACCATGCACAATCTTCCACAAACGATGGCTTAGCCTTTCGTAGAGAACTCGTGTAACGTAAATACTCTATATCCTGGAAACTCAGGATTAATTCTAGACATAAGATTTGAAGCATTGATCTTAGCTACCTCACGATGTTAGTGTTGGAAAGGAGATATCATTCTCAAATCCCAAGGGAGAAAGATAGATTGCTTTTGCACTAAGCAAGGATCATTTGGTTAGCGTACTAGGCACGAACAAGACCAACCTTTTGGTCATTTCTCCACAGCCTCTATTTCGCCGAACACGACGCTTGTTTCTAGCTCTGTCTTGGAAACAGAGCCCATACTGGCCAAAACAGATTGCATGTATCCCCGATCCTGCTAGTAGCTCATACCCTTTGGGACGGGCTTGAAAATTCTTTCGATCGGCAAGGGCAGTTTACGAGAATTGCATGCATAGGCAGTAGTACCACTGTGATGGCTGTGTTGTTATATGTGTTGCATAAAATCTAGGTAACTTTAGCCAAAATAGAGGACGTTTAGGACACTGCAAGCACAGCCAAGCTTGGTATTTTTGAAACGGCCAGTTTGAACGGACAGTACTAGCGCTGCTTCTAAATTGCGAGATATGCGTTGAGTATGCACGGTTTTTATTGGACAGTATGCAATTATTAGCACTGAGCTGCAGGTTTAAAAGGAGGTTTTAGGGTGAGTGTGTATGTTGGGTGGTTCATTTGTAGGTTTGTGAAGTAGAATCTAGCTGGTGAGGAAATTATACATGTAGAAGGGGAGGTATTTGCTTAGTAATATGGGGGGATAGCGGAATCTAGGATTTGACTGTAATCATATCACTTTATTACTTGAGGAGGAACAGGTAGATAGTGTGGCGTTACCTCTGGTAGTATGTTCGGAAAAGAAAGTATTGGAGAACTAGTTGAACAAGATGCGAGTTTAACCACCCGACAAGGTTGTTTGTGCATCTGATGCTGCAACACCAAGCAGCATCTTACAGGCACGAATAGTGTTGGCTGCCCTCAGCGTTCAAAATATTGGCGTCTCAACTGAAGTTACAGAGGATGAAATGCGGTTCTACGCATTACGACTTTTATACGTAGTAGTGTACTTACAGTAGAAATAGCACCTTCTAACCTGCATTCCAGCTAAGTGGGAGAATTAGTTCATTCATGACAAACGCGTCCAAAATAGTAAACGTGTGGCCTTTGTTTTCTCTTCGTGAAAGCGGTGTGAAGATGACTGCTGAGTGCGGCGGTGAGTAACAAGGCTCTAATAAACATAGGTACTTGGCTAGCTGGTGGATGAAACGACGGATTGGCCTGATAATTAACGGCTCTGTTAGTGTGCCTATGCATGATGCGGCTAACACCAAGGTCTAAAAAGACTTGGACGAAATGCGAGCTCTTTGGCAGTGGCTGGCGTGGTGTGGCAGATGGCAGGCTCCCCAGTGCGCATGCCCATGCGCCTCAGGCACGACGCAGGGCTTTTCCTCTCTGCCACATACTTGGACAAGTACACCGACTAGGTTGTATATGCATCGTCACATGGTGTTTGCGATAGGGCGTCGCAAAGATGACAAGTAAGTACAGTATGCAATTAGCCGCGCAGTGTGATTGTACTTACGTACTTGGCGATGATTCAGGCCACCAGTGTCCCGCCCCCACGGCCCCAGGCGCTGCGTGAGGCACTGTTGATGATGCTTCGCGCCCCAACATCCCCCATACACCCCACAGCCGTGCTTGCTGCACGTATCAAGACTCCGCGAAAAGACTGCCGGTGCCTGTGTGCATACTACAGAGCGAGGTGCTGCTCCTGGTCCATTGCCCCGGCGAGTTAGGAACCGTGTGTGGAGAAGATTGCGCATCCTGCAGCTACTGTAAAGGCACCTCTCGACGCGTGCGAAGAGCCAGGCCCTGCCTGGTCGACGAAGAATACGCCATCCAAGGTACTACAGATCATGTCATCGCTAGACCTCGATCCATACCGACACGGCTGGCAACTTGAGCAACACCAACCGTCGTCGCCATCGCCAACACAGGTTGCATACAAAGGCGCGCAGGCATCCTCCACCCAGCCTTATTACAGCGACGCAGCATCAAACCCGGTAATCGCAGAGCTCCCCGCCGAACAAGCTGCTGCTCCTTGTACATTCACGTCAGAAGAAGACGCGAAGCAAGATGAAGTGCTGGTACACAGAATGTCACAGCTCGAGGTCCAAGGCTCTCCAAGGACATGGCAAAGCCAACAATGGCCTGCCAACCCTTCCCCAACGCATTCGCCGAGTGTCTCGTCTCTGCCTACCCGGCGTTCAGCGAGTGTGACAAGCTCGAGTACTCAAAATCTCGCCACCCCGCCTCTCGTCCACCAGCACTCGACACGGTCACTACGGCCTCATTCCAAAAGCATAGGCACGTATGCCCAACACTGGAGCCCAGACTCTCTTGCTCGTGTGCAAAGAATCGACCCAGCTAGTTGTAGCACGTTACCCGAAGTTGTGGTAGAGCCTTTCCCCATGTCGTACTCTGATGCGAGATTAGCATCGCAAAGCCTACCGATACCAGTTGCCCTGGACCGGCAATCAATAGAACAACCGTGTGCCACCCCGGAGCCTTGGACATTGCCTGCATACCTGGAAAAGTATCGCCAAGCACCCTATCCCCCACAATGGAGTCGACCGCCCGTACTGAGAACCTTATATGCGGGTCGCAGCAGCGAGCATGCTTCGGGCTCTACTTGGCTCGATACGCCGGCCTCATCAACGTGGAGTACGAAGAGACACTCAGACAAAGCACACCAAGCTAGCCCGCCGATGTTTTGTTTCAAGTTCAAGAGCACGAGCGGTGGCTTCCGCAGTCCAAAGCTCTCATGGACCATGACGTGCATCGAGCCAGCCAAAGATGGCGACACAAAGGCGAGCAAGCAAAAGGCCAGCACATGGACATACGACCTCAGGATAGATGGCAGGACCAATCTGCGCAAGTCTGAAAGCTTATTGCGAGGTGGCCCCAACCCGCAAAGCATCATGACGACGTATGTGCATGCGCTCAACTACGACTCGTTACGATTCATTGGGCCTGATGAAAAGGCGTACATGTGGGTGTCGAGCACAAAGGTGTCTTCGGTCGATGGGGTGCGATACGACACGCTCAGACACGCGCTGTTCGTAGCGACAAGAGGCAATGCCAATCCACTGTACGGTCAGATTGTGGCCGATCACTGTTTCTGGGATGGCGGTGTTGATGGGAGCGGAGCAAGCCTGCCGGATGAAGCGCTGTACCTGCGATGTTCGGTTGTCGACACGGAGCTTGTTGTGGCGACGCTGCAGGTGATGAAGGATTGGGAGAAGCACAAGCTGAGGGAAGAGAAGAGGACCAAGCCAAAGGCCTTTTGTGCAACCGAGGAAGAAGCGCGAAAGCATGCGCTGGGCGCAGCGAGTTACTGGAAAGCCTGATGTAGTATAGCTGGCTGTTCGTATCCAGGGGTTGGCATGGATGGGTAGATAGCTAGCGCTCCCAAGCCACTAGTGCCACAATCCACGCACGCTTGGGAGATTCCAAACGCGGTATACCAAGATGGAGCGAGAGGCGCAGGCACACGTGAAACGGCGCAGGCACAGGCACAGGCACAGGCACAGGCTTATGGGAGAGGGGCTAGGCCGCTTGGGGGCTAGCGCCGATGGGGCTGAGGCTGAGGCTGAGGCTGAGGCTGAGGCTGAGGCTTAGCGATGCCTGCCGTCCACGTGGCCATGGCGATACGACGCAAAATTGCCCGGGCGAAAGCATCGTGAGCATCATGTCGACCCTCTGCAGCCGGGCGCCATGATGGGCAGACGGCGCATACATACACACATACATGCATACATGCATGCATACACACATACAACGAGCCTCCCGCGACCACGATGCATTCTGGCCCGCCCTCCGATGCGCGCCCACCCTCCGAGTACAAGCACAAGTAAGTAGGGCAATATAATATGACTGGCGGTGAAAAGTGAACAGGCGCGGCCTCGTCCGAGCGTGAGGCTAGCCCAGCCAGTTACTTACTGACTTGATCGTCTTATCTCTCGTCTCGTTCGCCTCAGCGGCACAATGCACGTCGAGTCCGTTTCTCTTCTCTCATTCCCCGGGCGCGCCGTCAAATGAGTGCCAGCCTCACGGGCGCTGGGCTGCCCCCTTCGACCACGCTGCCCTCCCTTCGCTCCCCACAGTCCGCATCCGAAGCCCGGCTCACGTCGGCCCTCAGCAATCTCCGCGCGCTCTACTGCCCCGTGCGCCTGCCCACGCTCATTTCCTCCCCGACATCCAGACGAGACCACAGATCCATCACATCGCCACCACGCCCAGTCGACTCTGGATACGCCTCGCATGACGACGACGACGACGCCGCCGCCGCCGCCGACGCCGCCACTCTGCAAGACGTGACCGCAGCTCTGCGCGCCGACCCCTTCGAGCGCTCTTTTGCCATCCAATGGCTGAACTCGCTCATCGCCCGTTCCGACGACTTGCACATGCATCATGACGCCCGCGAACGCCTTGTTGATGACGCTGCCGTGATTCTTTCAAGCCTGTTCGAGTCCACCACCAGCCACGACGAAGAGGCCCTTACTCGTAACTTTGCCTTTGCCATGCCTTCCGGAGAAGCAATCAAAGTCACGCTCAACGATGCACCGCTTTCAACTACAGACCATACTGCCGTCGGTCTCCAATCCTGGGGTGCGAGCATCGTGCTGAGCAGCCTCATGTGCGCTGACCCCACGCGCTTTGCACTCGATTCACCAAGCCTTGCACCGCATCCACACATAACCGAACTTGGCGCTGGAACCGGTCTCGTCAGTTTGGTGCTGGCCAAACTACTCCCCGCCATGCATGTTGCCACGGCCACCATTTTGGCAACCGACTACCATCCTGCCGTTCTGCAAAACTGCACAGCCAACATCAATACCAACTTTCCTCCAACCTGCCATGATGCACCGCCTGTCAAGACTGCCATTCTAGACTGGGCCCAACCCCCTCCACACCTCAAGGCAACGTCGCATCTCCTCATTGCCTCTGACGTCGTATACGCCCCCGAACATGCAGCTTGGCTGAGGGACTGTGCAGCCCACTTGTTAACCACGACCGGCACCTTCTGGCTCATGGTCACAGTGCGCAAGACTGGCAAGTTTGAGGCAATTCCAGACACCGTAGAGTCCGCTTTTGCACCCAAACTCTGTCCTAGGAACGACAGCGGCATGACATTCCAAATACTCGAAAAAGACTTTGTCGACAAGAGAAGGGGTATTGGCAGGGGTGACGAGACCGGATACAATCTTTACCGCATTGGTTGGTCATAGACGCTACACCACATACATGCCAGTACCAACGGCGTTTTTGAGGCATTGCATTTCGTTTGCATGCATAGACCAAGTTACGATTCGCCGACATGGATTGTGCGCCATGATATCACAACTACTAGGAGTTTTGATTACCTTGGACATAGCATACAAGTAGAAGGGCATCATATATATAGAATAGACTTTGTACACTCTTTGACGTTGCATTAGATGCTATTTAAGAGTCTTGTAAGCTTGCTTCGCAGGCCGTGTTTTCTTATATAGTCTTGTTGGAACTCTTGATAGCAGCCTGTGTGGTTGGTTCGACTCGAGACTTTGACATCTTCCATACGTTGAAGCTGATCCCATATCAAACCCCTTATTCAAACCTTAACCATTAGGGGCAGGCTTACTATAAGGTGATTTATAGCTTACCTACCAAGTTGGATTTTCTCCTCACCACCTACTCGGCCAGTCTTAAATGACTATATGCCCGAAGTGGCCCCTCTGGAGCCAGCCAAAGCTACGCGCAGCTATATGCACGTGTAATGTACGTTCCTATGTACTGAACAACTTTCATCATGTGCACACGACACAGTTATTCCCCTACGTATAATCAAGTCATACCCAATGCACAACTCGGCCTTGAACAGAATTAAACTCGATAAAATAAATCACATAGTAATTGGTCAGACCATGAACAAAATGAATTACGGCTGATGTCGCAAGTCGGACCTTGTACGATCTACGTAAGACTGCCCTGTAATTCTTTTCCCACATTTAACCCCAAGTGCTTTTCAGAGCGCCCATGTATAAGACCCTTCGTTCCTCTCCCAGTTCCAATTTAATTCTTCACACAGGACCCAACATCCATTCAGCCGCTTGTCATCTCCAACATCTCAATACCTCGCCAACAATCCTTATTACTTTTGCTTAAGCTCGGCTTACTCGAAACCATGAAGGCTACTCTGCAATCACTTGTGGCCTTTGCTTCCATCCTTTCCATAGCTTTGGGAAACTGTAACCAACCAGCATGCTCTGTCGGAGTTGTCGAAACGTACGACACGAGCTTTTGTGTGGGGAGGGTTCACCGAGACAAAAAGTGGGGACAGCCAGGAGTATTTCAAGGCGATTCCAACCATTGGGACTGGGAAGTCCAAACGGACACATATAAAATCAACATCTGGGACAACGGCTTGGTTACGTTTGGTTATGGGCAGGGCCATAAAGCCTGTGTTATGCAAATCACCACCGCTAACGGTCCGGTTGATGTCATGCTTCCGCCCAACAACGCCGGCGTTGATCCGAATTGGAATGGGGTAGGATGTTGCCTGCCCCCAAGCCTTACATATGGTATCCAAAGCGTGTGGGTATGGAATTGAAGGGCGGAAAAAGTCGTCTTCATGTTTGGTGCAGCATTCTATGCTACCTCATGCTGCAGCGTACGTCTAGCAGTCATTGCTACATATATATGTGATACCTCAACTTTGGCCACTTACTATTGTGAGTATCCAACAATAATATAATATCAGCAGACTATTTTGATATCAAAGTAGCCAAGATGGCTAAGTAGTATAGTTTACACCTTTTGTACGGTAAGGAACTATGTGGTTACGCCAGCAAGTGAACGCTGGAAGAATCACGGTTGAATGGAAACCTCCTGCCAACTAGCTTACTTATAGCTTCACTAAGTTGCTCTTCTATTAGAAGTACAGGAACTTTACACAACAACTAGAGCCTTAAAGACATTGATTATATCACTAATCGTGAAAGACTCTTCTACTCTGATCCCCCTAGGCTAGTGGCACCACATGCGTTTCCTTTTCAAACTTTCTACTATCTTTAAAGTTTCTATCCGACATAGATACCTGAGGGGGGATTGCATCATCAAGGGATGCGGATAGGAGCGAGAGTAGACCACAGTATGTTACAGTCAATCCCTATACTTATGCAACATACACCCGAGCTGCTTAAGGCAAAAACGCGTGTCCCCACAATGCTAGGCGCCCACTTTTTTATGTACAGATAGGTCGTATCCCCGCTTACATCATAGTCAAGAACTAGATCTGCAGAACACTAGCTCTCGACAGTTGTTATCAATGGCTGTCACAAACAAGACGTCGTGTGAGGAAACCGAAACTAGCTCAGCTAAGTACTTAGGGACACCGGATCTACTCAAGTAGACATGGTTCGTGCGTCGGGCGGGGCCTCGGCTGTCCTTCCCTAATCGACAAATACTAAGTAACGAGCTTCTGCAAGCGGGCATCCGCTTTCGCCATGAAGACGCCACGCACCCACATTTACTAACTTGGGCTTAGGGCTGTAGTGTCCAAGAAACACCCACAGACTTGGGTGGTGAACAAACAAGTCGCCATGCTCCTAGGCCCAAGTCAGGGCCGCTACGTACCATGCTAACAAGAAGATGCTCAATGCCGATGCTCGGTGTACGACAGGCCACGTAGCATGGTCTCCAGGGTAAGCAATCTATATTGACCGGACCAGCCGGAGTACAGTCAGACAGAGTGTTAGACTAGAGCGCATCCTGGTCGTGCATCTCGACGGAAATCGCCATATTAGTAAGAGAGCTAGTAGGTGGACGGGGAAGATAGTGAGATGCTGGTTCTAGTAAGCAGAGATGCACTTCCGATAGATAAGGAGCTGTTTGGTAATGCGGTAGAGCAGCTCCACTATTGCTATTGGATAGAGACTTAGTTGGGGTTCATTTGTAGAGTTTCTTTCGTCTGCTCCCTTGTTGCCTTAAGCCTGTAACATCTTCTGCTGTGGGATACTGCGGTACTTGGAAAAGACCAACGGAGAGACATCTGGTAATCAACTTATGTACTTCGACTGAACCAAGCCGTTAGTTCTATATAAATATAATTGTTTAGAGGCCTATAATGATAGCCAAAGTCTTATATAGCTAAAAGCTGCATAGACTATAACAGATTCATAATAAAAATAAAAACCCTAGACTGCGCGGACCGTGGTTTCTCCCTAACCCTTGCGAGCTAACCAGCTGTTCTCCTACGCAGGGACGGGCATGGGACTACCGTGATCACTGCGATCTTCTTGGTACTTGAGCAGCCGCACTACTCAGACACTATGTATCAGCCCAGAGCCGGCAAGACCCCATGTTTAGCCCACCTCATTGCATCGCAAGGATCACAGATTCTAAGTACCGTGTCCCAACACCAACTTCGAGTTTTCTGGAAACCGCTAGGAAAGCACGCTATCTAGGAGAACCGACCACGAGGAATCGACTAACAGCACTTTCAACACCTGCAGCTAAGGCGCTAGCGCGCAGTAGGGAGAAGAAGGAGGCCTTCCTTCGTTATCTCACGCCTGTGAGAATTTTCTTATAGAGCTTGGGCTCTAATGCCAAGACTAGAGGGGCTAATAGGAACGTAGGAGCTTATTAAAGCTTAAATTTAGCAAGAAACATAGACATATTAAAATAATAAAAATAACAAAAAAAGACTAGCCTTAAAGGACCTTAGAGGCACAAGCAAACGACTAATAGATAATAATCCAGAAATTGAGATGGCTGAGGAGGCCTCTACGCCTTGCCCTAACAGGTGTAAGGGGCTGCGCTCCAGGGAGCAATCGCGAGGTATACAAGAGGTTGTATTCGATAAGGAGCTATCTACTCTGCTTACGTGGTGTTTATTTACTTATCGGANAAAGGTTATGCCGGAGTATCT